TTGGCTAAACCCTATATGAGTCTCAAATGCCCCTTTCCTGGGACAGAAAAGGTAAGAGGCTAACGATAAACCAGAAGCCTCTCTCCTCAAGCCCTACCTTAGGACGGCCACAACCTGACTTTTCAGTCACATGGACCTGAGCATGAGACAGGGCATTGGGGTTTTCGTCCAGGGCTCAGAGCCTTCAAAGGCCTGGACGACATCAGTCATAGCAGCAGGACACTGTGGCCTACGCTGGCCAGGTGGTTTCAGCTTTTTTAGCAGAGAATCCTGTACAGTTACTTGAAGATCTCCCTCCCGCCTCTTCACACTGCTCATTAAGCAACTTCCTGCTGAGAGTAGAGTTCTCAGGGCTCACAGAATGTTGTCTTTAATGCTATAGAGCTTTATTACTGATAATCCTGAAGTGTCTCTCCACAGACGTTCCTCACATAATTCTGCTACTGTATTTCCTATTTGTCTCACTTCCCACCTGAGAACCTCAGACCCAATGTCCACAACTTATCAGAAGTTGTCCACTGTCAACTAAAGTAACTGTATCCACTGCACTGCCACGAGGAAGCTGCCGACTTACAGTGAAAATACAACTGGGTCTCCAGAGTCTGTGCCACTCCAAGCCCCTCAGCTTCATCTTCTGCTCACCTCGGAGGTGCTCGAGCCTGACTTGTGTCACATTCAGAGCCAGGTGGGTACCAACTCAAGTCAAATGTCTCCCCCACTGCCCTTCATCACTGTGACAGAAAATACTAAGGAATCACAAGGCTCCTGCTGTGTGAGACCAACCAAGAACAGCAAGTATGCAGTGGTTCTTTTTTTTTTTGTCTTTTTCTTTTTTATTGGGGATCGAACTCATGACTGCCTGCTTACAAGGCAGGTGCTTATGCCGCTGAGCTAAATCCCCAGCCCCTAGTGGTTCTTTTATGTTACAGGTTCTCCAAGATCTCTGCTGGGGGTTTGTTTCGTCCTAAACCCAGAGACCTAAGCCTCCTTATCAGGAGGCTACAGCTCAGAGTGTAAGCCATACTCAGTGAGGCTGGCAGAGGTGAACTCCATTCAGTTGCCTAGTTTTTAACATCTTTATGGCATGGACAAAACCTTTCCAGCTAGCTCTGAAAAGCTACAGAATAGAACACTTCCCCAAGAGATTATCTCTAGATTTGGATTTCCTAGGTCCCTTCAAAGTGACAATGGTCCACCTTCCACCTCCAGGGCATAGTGGCTAAAGTACCTCAGCCCCCCCCCCCCCCCCCCCGCCAAAGAAGCGCTGTCAACAGCTCGGTTAAGAACCTACCCAGGTCCTTGACACTGGGTCATCTGAAGTGCTGCACAATTGATCTCTCTTATATGCTTATTCCCACTAAATGTGAAGGCCCAGTACTAAGGCCAAGATAATCTCCACTAAGTATTCTCCAGTAGGCGTTATAAAAATGTAGATTACAGGTATTTTTTTTTTTTTGTCTTTTTCATTTTTACCAGTACCAGGGATCGAACTCATGACCGCCTGCTTACAAGGCAGGTGCTTATGCCACTGAGCTAAATCCCCAGCCCCAATTACAGGTATTGACACAAGAGTCTTGAGCTCAAAGGCCTATCAACCTAGAACACTATCTCATTAAAACACGTAAGAGCTGGACATTGTTGCGTATACCTATAAACCCAGTGGTCAGGAGGCTGAGGCAGGAGTTGATGGCCAGCCTGAATCACATAGTCAGACACTGTTTCAACTCTCTCCCAAAGAGAGCACACAAAGTCAGTAATTGACTCCTTTTTGAAAGGACTTTCTGCAATATTTCTCCCTTCTCCAGGGTCCCCAACACTGGCAGATAGATTCACCATGCTTGAGTCAAATCTTAGAAGACACAAGCCTCTCATGGAACCTCCTGAGTTGGTCATGGTACAGCATGTCTGTAATTCCACCACTCAGGAGGCCACAGGAGGGTAGTTGCCAAGTTCAAGGTCAACCTGGGCTATGTAGTAGGTTCAAGGCCAGCCTGAACTAAAATAGACCCTTTCTCAAAAAACCTAGTTTGTTTTGTTTTTTAAAGGAGACCTCCTGATGCTGGGGGTTGGGGGACCTACCAAGAAATCAACTGGCCAGCCTTTTGGCTAGTAAGCTGTGCCAAGCCACGTGGGTTCCAGGGAGAGAAAAGTCAGCATCTCCAGAGAATCAGCCATGCTAGGACTTGGGCGACCAACCAAATCAACTAGCCAGCCTTTCTAGTAAGCCACACAAGCTGCCTGGGTTCCAGGGAGAGAAGTCAGATAGAATCTCCTGTAAGCCTACTGGTGCCCAGGTTGAAAATCAAAACACTGTTGGTTCCCCCCATCCCCAAACTGGAGGCTTGGATGCTTCAGGGGACAGGGCTGAGTTGACTGCGGCTAAGGTACCTAAAGCAACTAAAGGCTTGTATTGTTGGGTTGATTATACAGGCCATGGGGGCAGCAGTCTGAGCATCTCTTGCGAGGATGATTGTATGCAGTGTAGCAAATGTGGGGGGGATTTCCTTCTATCTTGTCTTTGAAGTCCAATATTGTTCTCATTGATTTGCTTTGTTCTGGTTGTTTTGCTTTATCCCAATATTCTGCTTTGAATGGTTTTATTCTGTTTTGTTTTGGGTTTGACTTTGCTGTATCTGATGGAATGGACAACTATTGTGAAGATAACAAGATGTACTATGGTACCTATTGTTGTTTTCGGGGTATCCTGCTTGAAATACCAGTTTGCTCCAGTTTTAATTGGCTTTGTTCTGTCTTGGTTTGTTGGATTTCACTATCTTTAAAAAAAAAATATCTTCCCACCCTGGGAATGAACTTCTGGAAGATTTGAAATCACTGTCCAAGTACTTGAGTATCATATTATGCCCACCCTGCCTTCTAGCAGAGGGCTACATGGACCTTGATGCTGGATGTCCTTCCTTTCTTGGAAGCTTGCAACAGTTACTTGCTGGTCCTAGTACTTTTGGGGACCATGGTGCCCACATGAGGCTTCAGTTACCAGTTCTGTTCAATCATGTTTTATCTTTGGCTTTGGATGGACCTTTCTACATCAATTTGGTAATAAATACATACGTACACATATAAACGTTTATAATCATTATTTTGAAACTTGAACAGGGATTTCAAGTCTTCCAGAAGTTCATTTCCAAGGTGAGGAGGTTTTTTTTTTTTTTTTTTTGTCTTTTTCCTTTTCATCAGTACCGGGGATCGAACTCACGATTACCTGCTTGCAAGGCAGGCGCTTATGCCGCTGAGCTAAATCCCCAGCCCCGAGGTTTTTTTTTCAAAGATAGTAAAATCCAACAAAACAAGACAGAATAAAGGATCATGCTAAATTTCCCAAATGGCTTGCAATCCTCTTCCTCAGCCTCCTAGTGCTGGCATTATAGACATGGTTGTAGTTTTTTTGAAAAGTGGGATCAACACTGGCTGTGTTGTATAACAGGGATGAAGTAAATGAGCCTCTAGAGTAAGGGTATGTTAAACTGGCCAGGAGTTATCTGTTTAGTGCCTACCCTGGGTCTTCAGCCTGTAGTTTCCAGCTGTGATCAGCTGGCTCTCACTGTCCCAGAGCCCTGCTAGGCAGTGCAAGGTGTGAGAAGTGAAGGTTCCATGATTCAAGATGACACATGGCATTCTGTGGGCCATCAGCATCTCTTAACTCCCACTGGCCCTAGCCAGGAAGGCTCAGGGGACAACCATTAGGGAAGAGTGTCCAGGACAAAGATGATGATGCTACCATGCAGTCTCAAATAGCTCTTCCTTCCAAAGGTGGCTCTAGGCCCTGCCAAGGTAGCTGAACTCACTGCCCCCAGGAGAGCAGAGTCCTTGCCCATTCTTCTTTTTGAGTCTACAAAAGTCAGGGTTAAAGTGCCTGCCTGAAAAACACAAAGTGCTGAATCCAATTCCCTATACAAAAAAAGACAGTGTATTCAGCTTTTGCTTGGAACAACAGTAACAACTTTCAAGCTCTTGAGTGTCAAGCTAAAACTAGAAGTGCTAGAACTATTCTCAAAAGGATGGCTACTAAAGAGTTCTAGGCAAAAGAGTTTTTGTTCCTAGTGGGTGGGTAGTGTGCACCAGTCACTTGGAGGGCTGAGGCAAGAGGATCTCAAGTTTGAGGCCAGTCTGGCCACCCAGTGTGACCCTATTTTTATTTCAGAAAGAGTCTACGTAGCCTGGGCTGGCCTTGAATTCATGTTGTTCCTCCTGCTTCAGCCTCAAAATCCTAGGATGCAGGAGTGCACCACCACACCCAGTTTGAGACCCTACTCTAAAGACAGAGGGAAGTTTTTGGTCTTTTTTATTTTTTGAAACAGGATCTATGTATTCCAGGCTGCCCTCAAACTCAGGGTGATACTCAAGCCTCAGCCTCCTGAGTACTGACACTAGACATGGACCATACTGGCAAAGCTCTTGGTCTTGGAAGTCTGCAAAACACTCACGATGGATGAAATGCTGCACTCTCCTAGAATCTGGGGACCCCACACAGCTGGTGGGGGCAGCAGGGTCTTGAGGGCAGTCCCCAAGCAGTGGGAGCTCATCACTCAATCTACGCCTGTCCCAAAGCTACAGGAGCAGAATTCACCATGCAGCATGCTTGTCCAGCCCTCATCTAGAATCCACACAGGTCCCATGAGGCCCCAGTCCCTGTCAGATCTGCTGGACTGTGCCCCGCTCACCAACCACTTGTACAGCCTGTGACCCACAATCCACCCTGCACCCGAGTCAGCTTAGACCTCTGTCTCTGAGTGCAGGAAGACTAAGCAACTGCAACTCAAGCCTGCTCCCTCTTAACCTGTTCCTTCATCTGTGCCAGCAGGGACCAGCAGCAATGCCGGTTTCTTCAGTGTGAAAAGGACGAGGCACCGGACAGGACCTTGCACTGTGCTCGGTTGTACATCATCCCTAACCAACACACTAGAAGGGCCTAAGGCTCAGGAGATAGGGTTTTGAGGTACTAGGCTACTATCAAGGAAGGAACTTGTAACTCACTCAAAACGTACATGCACATAAACACCCACCACTCATAGCTGTTTATTTTTCAAAAATGGTTCTGACACAAGGAACAGAGTGGTGTGTGCACAGCACTGTCTTGTGACCAGAGGATCTAGCCCATTTCTCACTGTGTTCCAGCACCTGACTACCATGTAGCTCTCGATGACACCAAAGATGCTTGGCATCAGAACAACAGACACTGGGCTAAAAGTAGGAGTATCCTTAGTGTATTAGATGGGGAGATACAAACCTGAGCACAGATTTGTTCACACACAACCAGACAGGGCCACTGCGGGTTCTGCCAGCTCTGTGACCATGGCTGAGGAAAGGCAAGGCATCCACACAGGTGGAGCACACAGCTGTCTCTCCTCCACTGTCACCTGTCCTCCACAGGCTCAAGGGATAGAGACCGAGACTGGAAGACGACAGCCACTGGACAGTTCTACAGAACCTGAGGGATCTGACTTTAGTTTGGATTAGTATGTTCAGAGAGTTAATTTCTTAAGTTTTTAAAAATGTTCTGTGTGTGTCTCCAATACTTCGTTCCTTGCAGATTGCTACCTAGTGCTGGTTTCAGGAAGCAGCAGAGGTGAGTCGTCTCCAACGAAACCCCACTGATGGAGAGTGCAGGCTCCTGCAGAAAGTGCTGATCGCAAGCTACATTAGCTTCTTTTGGGGCCGAAGGCCACCGGCTTCAAGAGAGAAATGGAGTAAGCAGAGAGCAGTGAGTTGGCACCTCCGAGCCCCAGCACCACAGCCCAAGAGGGCTTGGACCCTGCCTGGGGAAGGAGAGAGGCCTGCAGCAAGCAACATCTTGTATGCCTGACACTGCTCACCATGCAGAGTGGGGCTGCATTCTTCATGAACACAGCCCAGTTGCCAGCGTCCCCTATATCCCACCCCTCCGACATCCAGAACTTGTCTCTATTCAGTCAAGAGACTCAGTGGAACCTTTCCACCAGAGCTCCTCCACTCCAGCAGCAAGTGGATATATGGCACCCTCATAACCTGGAGGAAGCATGGCCCTGAGGGAGGCAAGGGTATAAAGTGGCGAGTGAAGTTACTGTTCATTACCAGGCTCCCTGCAGCACACTGTTCAGAGCCGTGAGGTGCTGGGTTGGTCCAGGGTCCAGCTCCTGCGCACCAGAGCACCAGAACCACAGGGGCAGCTGACTTTTCTGCCCTAAGACCCAAATGCCAGAGGCCAATGCAGGGTGCTGCTTGGCCCTCTGAACAGTTTGGTTCCTTAATACTAACACTGATGAGGAAAACACTCACCAGCACCCCAGCTAGGATGGCCCAAGGGGGAAGATGCTGGCCAGAGAGCACAGAGCTTGCTAGACTCTACTCTCAGCCTCAGAGAAGGCCTTGTTCTCTTGGCAATTCTCCAAAGAGTCCTCTGTTCAACATCTCTGGAATTACACACTACCCCTTTCCTGACGCCTGGCTCAGGGCTGCGTCCAGGTGGAACTTCTCCCAGATACATTAACAGAGACCAAGACATTAACTGTGCCTCTTCCTGCAGGCTTGTGGACAAGTCACAGTGCATAATGCACTGGGAGCCACATTGTAGCCCGAGAACAAAGGGGACACTGGCAGCATGTCCTCCAAGGTATGGCCACTGCTCCACTGTTCCCTCCACCACAGCACTGGTCCCCAGAATTGACCCTAGAAAAGCCAAGGACTCACAGCCTAGTGGGCACAAGCTTTTGCCATAGCAGCACAACCTGGGGGATCCAGGATGCCTGCCCTTCAGAGGTCGTTCGAAGGCTGCATAACAGACGGAACTATGAGGTGCCAGTGGCCATGTCCACTTTGGCCCAGGTAGCTGCACCAAGTTACAGCTTCCCAGAAAAAATGCAAAGTCCTTGAAAGGAAAAACCCCAAGAAAAAACAAGGCATGTAGGAAAAGCCACTGAGTGAAGGCTAGTCCCTCAGGAGTTTCTGTGTTAGCCAATGTCATGGAGATACATCTGGTATGGACAGCAGCACCTGGGCTGCATGCCCTGCTCCCCACTATCACTCTGGGCCCCTCTTCTGCTTGGCCAAAGTGCATCTCAGCTCTCGAAGGTTCTCAGTCAGCACCTCCACCTCATCCAGGCGGCCATACTGCTTGGCATCAAAGATGTAGGCCTTGATATTGTTGATCTGCTGCAGGAGTAGGTCCTCCTCAATGGGCTCCATGGCTTCCGGGCCACTGTCACTGTCCACCTCAAAGGGGTTGGTGCTGGTAGGCTCCTCAAAGGGGTTGCCTGGCACAGGTGGACTGGCAGGCCTCCAGTTGGGCCTGCTGTGGTCATCATCCTCCTCATCAAAGGGATTAGGTGCTGGGCTGTCAGGGCTGATGAAGGGGTTCCCTGTGGCCATGGCTGAGGCTAGTGCATCTTCTTCGGCTTCCTCTTCCTCCTCAAAAGGGTTGTACTCTCTGGGGAGCGTGGCCTGCACAGCAGTAGGGCTGGAGAGGCCATCCCCACTGAAGGAGTTAAGAGCATTGTCGCTCTGCTGAGGTTCAGTGCTCTGGGGGAGGCTCCCCTGGCCCAGGGCCCATGTGGCATTTGGTGAGGGCATCTCAGAGGCTATGCTGCCCAGGCCTGGAGAAGGTCCTAGTTCCAGTGTGAAGGCTGGGTGTGAGCAAGGGCCCCAACTGGGCTCCAGCAGGAATGGTGCAGCCTCCCTTGAGTCTTGGGCCCGGGTCCGAGAGTGCAGGGAGGCGACCCGATCCCGCTCCCACTCTCGCTCCTGCAGCCTCTGCAGCTGTTCACGCTGCAGGGCCTCCTCCTCGGCCTGTCTGCGGGACAGCTCAATGGCTTTGGCTGTCTGCTGCTGGTCGTACTCATCCTGTAGCTGCCGCAGGTTCTCCCCCAGGGTACGCACCTCGTCTGCACGGCCGGCAGCTTGGGCCTGCTTGATGAATGACTCAATGTTGTGGATCTGCTGCAGAAGGGGGTCAAGGTCCTCACACTGGCCCTGCGTCCCTGGCAGTGGAAGCCAGCCCTCAGCCTTTCTCGCGGGAGCCACGTCTCCGTTGGCTGCTGGGCCATGGTGCCTGTCCTCCAGCCTGCGCTGTGATTCCAGGGCATCCTGGGGAGAACCAGAGCCAGGGTTACAGGATTACAGAGACGGGTAGTCTGCTCCCTGCCACTCTATCCACCTCCACCACCCCTCCTTTGGATTAGGAAGCCCCTCTGCCGACCGAAAAAGTGGGCAATCTCTGATTTTCAAAAGTGTGAGTGGCATGTTAGGGAGCAGCTCAGTCACAAGTTATACACTTGGCATACACTTCCATGTCTCTCACCTGTCCCCAGTGTTGCCATCCACTCAGAATGAACAGAGAAAATGTGTCCTGAGTGGCTGCTTCTGGTTCTACTCTGGGGATGCCAGAAATTGAACTAGGCCCTCAAGTATTCTACTACTGAACTATACCCATAAGCCTTTCTTTTCCCCTTATAGTGACAAGGTCTCATGAAATCACCCAACAGCCTCAAACTCTCGATCCTCCTGCCTCTGTCTCTCAAGTAGCTAGGAATACAGACATAGACACCACCCCTGACTACTTTCTGTGGTTTTTGTGATACTGGGGATGGAACTTAGGACCTCTGCACAGTTACACCTCCAGCCTTTTTTACTTTCCTGATTTGAGACAGGGTCTTACTAAGTCACTAAGTTTCCTAAGCTAGGTTTGAACTTGTGATCCTCCTGCCTCAGTCTACTAAAAAGACTAGGATCACAGTCATGAGCCAGCAGGCCTGGTTATTTTCTGTTTAACATTGCACTTTTCAATGTGGAACCCAGCAAGTGCTTCCTCTTGGGGAATACTACCAATCTCTGATGTTTTCGGCATGAGAAGCAATAGAATCACACAGACAAAACAAGAAAGAATTGTTCTAGTTTCCACTGGTGGGTACATACTGCCCAAGAACAAAAGATGAAAGTAAATGCACCAAAGACAGAGATATCACATGCCTGAGCTGCAACACAAAACCAAACTCAAGAGACAAGAGAGAGGGAGAGAAAGAACACACACACACACACACACACACACACACACACACACAGAGGCACGCACGCACGCACGCACGCACATACATATGCACACAGAAGCAGAGAGACAGACAGAGAGAGCAACCACACACATGCATGAGCAGGGCTCTGGTGACACAGGCAGGGGGACATCAGAACCCGGTGGGTCACCAGGAGACAGTGGCTGCCACCTTCCCAGGCTCTGCATACCTGTTTCTCCAGCATCCTCTTCCTCTCCAAATCCTGCTTCCTTTTCTTTTTGAGCTCTTCAAACTGTTCCTTGGTCGGCAGTGACATCAAACCCAGCAATTTTTCCTGCAGAGGTCACGATAGGGTCATACTTGTCATCTCCCAGTCTCTGACGGACTGTACTCATGAGCCAACTCCTCAGCTGTGTATCACCTGCCCACTCTAGGAGCTGAGCTACCAAGAACAGGAAGTGTGAACCACAGACCTGGGAACCAGCTTGGTGCCCAGTGGGCCCTTAGCAAATGGGACAAAAGTCCAGTTCTCGGCACTACTGTGTGGGGACACTGCCTCATATCCCCACTAGACCTTAGCAAAGAGGCTGAAGGCAGTTGCTGTGGTACTCGGGGATATGGCAGAAAGATGACTCTGGGTCCAACCCTGGGGTACAGGTGTCCCAAACTATCAGCCAAAGGCCCAAGAAGAGGCTCCATATCCTGCCATTTATCGCTTCCAGCCATAGAGCCCCAGGGGCCCTCACACCCAGTTGAGGGCCAAGGTCAGGTGAAGATAGCCCTTCACATGGCAGCAGTACAGGGACTGGTGAAATGGAACTCGGGAGAAAGGAAGCAGACTGGCAATGGAAGTGAGCCCTAACTACTGCATCTGAAAATCCAAATGGAAAAACACCAGAATGAGCCATGACTAAAAGTCTTCCTTTCTCAGAAACTCCCATTTTTCTCTTTCAAAAAGTGGCCGTGATGGCTCTTGCTCTTAGCAGAGACCTGCCCAAGATGAGAAACAGTGTCCAGGTGAGCTCCCTGACCTCACCTGCACGAAAAGTGTGGCTGAGTAGCGGATCATCCTCTGCAGCCGCAGCATGTTGGGGTGTGGTGGGGGGTCCTGGTTCGAGCCCAGAGTTAAGATCTTCTTACTGGACCAGAACAAAAACATCAGAAACAAGATAAGACGTCTCCAGAACTGCAGGTGTTCATGCCGAGACAGGTGAAGATGGGTGACTCCACTGTCTCCTGCAAGGCAGAGCCCAGTTCCTACCCTTTGAGTGGAACTACAGCACCTAACAGAGCACAGAGTATGTGACATGCTCAGTTGCTAATCAACTCATTACACCAGTGACCTGGTTTCACTAGTGAGCAACTTGTGCAACTGCACAGGGTCTAGCACTTTAAGGGACTTGTGCTTGTTTAATACTCCGCTGTTACCTTCTTAACACTGTTGGTAATGCTGAAGCAGGAAATAGCATTTTCAGTTTGTACCAGGTCTTGAAAATCATGCAGCTGGCCCTGAATGTCTGGACAGATAATGACCCTCAGTGCAACTGTCCCTAAGTTCCTTGTACTGCCTACACTGCCAAGGGCTGATTGAACCCCAATCACCAGGCCACCGTTTGAAAGCAACTGTGACTTGAGATGCAGGCACAGCTATGAACCGTAAACCAGCAGTGGCTCTGCTGGTTTCCTCACCTACAGTGCAGGCACTGCCCTGGCCTCAGTGACCTTGGGGTCACTGTGCTGCTGTCACTAGCACCGCGTCATGGGGTCACACTTGGCCCCAGCCTGAGGCCCCAGGCCCAGAAAAAGTTCATTCCTGGCACTATTCCCAGTCTCACCTCAGGGCATCTATGAGCTCATATACTTTCTGCACCTCCAAGCGGAGGTCACTGGCCTGCTCCAGGCTATAGGTAGTCTCCCCGGCACTGCAGAGAAAGCACAGGACAGGGCCATGTCAGGTCATGCTGAATGGGGGCTGCATGGGACACTCAAGACATGAGGCTATACCAAGATGGTTAGTGGTTGGAAAGGGGTGTTTCAAGTCTCAGACAGGAGTTGCAATTGAAAAATACAGACCATGTTTACATGTTTTAAAAACATATTACAGTGAAACACACTGTCTTCATTTCTTTCTCATCATTGAGACATAATGTAACTCCAAGGAGGAGAGGTCTGTTTTGGTTCACAGTTCATAAAGGCTTCAGTCCATTTTAGTTCCAGTGCAGGGGCCAAGACAGAGAAGAAATAGTTCCTGGCAAGATAGCAGGAAGCAGAGTGTGATTAGGCAGAGGAGGGAGACAGACCCTACAAGGCTATGCCCTCAGCGATCCACTTCCTTCAATTAGGCTTTACTTTGCAACATCACATTCAACCATAAATTCATCAGTGGACCAATCCACTGATGAATATCACACACCCATTAACCAATCACCTTCCAAAGCTCTACCTATGAGAGCGTGAAGTAACATCACATTCAACTACAAATTCATCAGTGGACCAATCCACTGATATCACATGCCCATTAACCAATCACCTCCCAAAGCCTTACCTATGAGAGCATGAGGCTTTGGGAGGACATGTATCCATAAACCATAATAGACATATTGCCATGAATCCCCTCAAACCTCCCCCATCCAATTCAAGCACACTTATCCCATCATTCTTGGCCACTTTCAGAAGCCACTCTAGAGTCCTCTTTTGCTGTCTCAGTGTCCTTAATTGATTAAAATGTTTCTCTTTTCATTCTGACTTTGGGGAAGAGCCCAAAAGATCTGGTAAATGAGGGCACAGTATGTTTTTATAAGCCTGCCTTTCTGTTGGATGGCACTTGGCAACAACATTCACAAATTACAGCTCATAAAGAGACTTAGCAAAGAGGACTCCAGATCTGCTACAGAAAGTGGCAAAATGATAAGTGTGCTCAAAGTGGGAGTAGGGGTTGGTGGGTTGGAGGACTTCTAGGTGGGTTCATGGTGGTGGGTTTATTGTACTATTTTTCTTCTTAAATATTCACTGTACCCTTTGACCACACCCCTTGTGATATAGCACCCCCATCACCCAGAAGCCATCTCCACATGCAGACCACAGGGACAGCTTGGGCCAGGCTTGAGGACCAGCTCCAGCCACAGTAGCAGACATAGTGGCTGCACCAGATCCTGTCCTAAGAAACCTCACAGTGTCTGGTGAGATGTACAAAGTGGTCACTGAAAGAGTCAGTCACACAGCCTTAGGGCACAAAGCCCCCTGACTCTTCACACTCAAATACTGCAGGAAAAGGATGACCAAGGACCCCTCCGCAGGCCTGGGCCACAGACCCAGCTCACAGGGCTCCTGAGGCTTGTGCCCCATGTGACAAAAGGGCCTCAGAGTGGCAGGAGATGTCATGGGTGACACTGCCACTGCTTCAGACTTGTCAACCCCTCTCAGACTGCTGATACTGAAGCAGCCCAGGGACTAGGGTTCTAGGCCTCTGGGGCAACCAACAACTTGAGCTGAAGAAACATTGCCATGACACAGAATCCAAAAAGCCAGCATGGCGGGTTCATCATCCCTCAGCACACAGTAGTACAAAGAACCTCAGGCTGGAAGCAGGAAAATAGGTTTTGCTTGTTTGTTTTGAGATGGGATAACACCATGTTGTCCAAACTGGCCTTGCACCTTGGGCTCAATGATTTGTCCACCTTAGCTGACGTAAAGGCTTTTTCTTGCTACCTCCAAGTCTGGAAAATAGCCCAAATCTGAAATCACTTCCTGAGGTCTCAATCGCATTAGGCAACTCAATCCCTCAAAGTGCTGTCACATCCAAAGTTACCTCATCTGTCATATGCTCCTGCGAGCAGCATTACTATCCCTAGTACCTGCCCCAGGCCTACACCTAGAGCAGCACCTGGCAGAGTATGTCCTGGGCCAAGAAGCAGGAGATGGTCACCCCACTGGTCAAGGAAGCCTGGAAAGGAACCAGGCCAGCAGGAACACAAAGCCTAGGACCCCAGAACAGCGGCACCCTGTCCTGTGTGCAGGTAGGGATGCAGCCTGGTCAGCACAGACAGAAGAGCCCCAGAGCTCTGCTGGAACACAAAACACAAGGGAGGCAGCACTTTTTGAACAAACCACCTGAGCTTAGTCACTCACATTCCATGTGGCAGACATTTACAGGACACTTCCTCCAAAGACAGGAAAGAGCACTGTGCCTGTCAAAAAGTTCATTTCCTTTTACTTTTCTGAGGCAGAATCACTATGTAGCCCAGGATGGTTTAAGTGATTCTCCTTAGTCAACCTCCTGAACGGTGGAACTACAAACCTGTGCCACCATGCCCAGCTTCAAATTTATTTTCTTTACATGTGAAAACTACATGATAGACATAGTAGGCTGTGAAGGAAAGTCATGTTCACACCCTGCTTCTAAAATCCTACAAAACTGCCACATGAATACTGGAGCAAAGCCTCACTCTCTCCTAACATGGCCCATGCCCTACAGGCCCCCTCCATGTGGCAGGCAGGCAGGCAGCACAAAGAGACAAAGGTAAAGAACTCAAATCAAACCACGGCTGCCAGCACTGCTTCCTGAAGGCTGGGCAAGAGTGGGACTGACCTGGCCTCAGCAGTGGCTCTAGCTCCCACTTCGCCTGCTGGAGCCATATGATCACATGGCTCAGCAAGTGAAGGGCCAGTGGCTGCAACCCGCAGCTCTGCTGCTGCAGCCCCAAAGCCACCTCTGGCAGCAACACACAAAGGGCAAGGCTGCTCCACTAAAACAGTTACACAGCAACTGCCTGGCAAGCATGAGATCATGAATTCGATCCCCAGTACCAAAACAAACAAACAAACCAAAAACAAAAACAAAAAAACCCTGTACAGCGAAATAGATGGAAAACATGCGACCCTCACTCTGTTGCAGAATGCAGTGTGGTGCAGTCCTTCTGAAAGGATGTGGCCACTTCTCATAGTAAACAGTTACCACAAAGTCTAGCGCTCACAGATATCCACCCAAGAGAAATGGAAATGTGTCTGCAGAATAATCTGCACACACATGTTAAATGCATGTCATTCATAGCAATTAAAAAGACTCAAATGTTTATTACTTGATGAATGAATAAATGAATACAGTACTGTACACAGGGCATTCATAGCAAAGGAATGAAGGGTGCACACACAACTACACAGGTGAACCCTGAAAGCACTGTGCTGTGACAAATCAGACACAAAAAGTTACGTTTATGATACCATTTATCGAAGATGTCAAAATTGCCATGCCACAGAAACAGGAAGCACATTAGAGAGTGCCAGGGAGCAGAGATGACTACCTGTGGTGTGAGGTTTGTACTGGAGCAAGGAGACGGTGTGGAAGACAAGGGTGTGGAAGCAAGGAAGTGGCTGTTCAATTATGTGAATATGGTAAAAATGACTCCATTGTACACTGTAAAAAGGAAGATTTCATGCTGGGCATAGTGGCACATGCTTGTAACCTCAGCACTAGGGAGGCTAAGGCAGGAGGATTGTTGCAAGTTCGAAATCAGCCTGGGCTACAAAGTGAGCTCAAAGCACAGCGAGACCCTGTCTCAAAAAGACAAAAAAAAAAGGGAGGGAAAGGGGAAGAGGGAGAAGAGAGGAAAGAAGGAGAAAGAAAAAGGGAGACAGGAAGGAGGAAGGAAAGAGAAAAGAAAAAAAAGAAGAGAGAGGCAAAGCAAGGTTTTCATCTGTATTACTCATCTGCCCAAGTACTGAGACGCAGTGCCCGACCTCAGGACACCATGAAGAAAGCTTACTTCAAGGATGCGGCCATCCGTGTGTATTCCGGGGCTTTCTGGTCCACCTTTTCCATGCACAGCCGCAATTTCTGAGAGCAGAGGAGAGGTAAGTGCCACTCTCAAAACACAAACACTCACCCAGAAACAGGTTGTACCAACAGACATGAGAAATGCTCCTTTTTCAAAACTGGGATCTTTTCCTTATGGCTATCAATTTCCTAACTTACAGACCTACTTTCCAAGCATAAGCTCTTACAGGAGGGAATGAGACTAAGTGGAGTCTAACTAGACTTCCCGAGACCAGCAGGCCTGCCAGTCCCCAGGCAGTGAGTCTGCCAACAGTAGGACGTGGTGATGCCAGGCAACAGCATGACCAGGCACAGTGTCACTATTCCCTTCAGAACAAGGGAGCCAGGGAGGACCTCCCAGGGAGGTCACAGGCTCCACAAAGGTAAAAAATGGCTACATTCAGTCCTGGCTCTGATTTGTGCTACACTAGTAGCTAAGTACATAGTTGCATGGGTTCTGCAAACAGTTATGGTGACCACAGCAGACTGCTCCTCTACCTATTTTCTACTCCAGTGTCCTGTCTCCCTGATGGTCCCTCTGGTTGGTCCCCAACCCACAGGTCTCCCTGGCCGCAGGAGCCTGAGCTATCTCATTACTCCCAGCTTTCCTGAGGTGCCATCTCTCAAATGTGCCCCTGCTATGGTGCTCTGGCATCAGGGAGCAGAGGTGCCTGAATCAGCTGAGGGAGTACTCCTGGTCCATGGCAGGGAACATGCAACTTTGCAGGGCTTTCTCCTCAGGCAAGTCTCCCAGGATTGTCCAGCTCATTATCTCCAAGCCTCCAGCTCCTGCCTGGTCCACAGAGGGCTCCTCTCTAGCCCCTGCCTTGCCACTCTCCAGGGGATGAGAACAGGTGGGACAGGGCTGGAACCACACCCCAGGGCAGCTCTGCAACTCCTCAGGGGCCCACAGCAGGAATGAATGCAAATCAAGGCAACTCCAGCACTCCACAGACAGGGTGGCATGGTCACCTCATAGAGCCTGGTGATGGCAGGCGTGTGCTCACGCTCATCCATCTGCTGCTCCTTGCGCAGCAGTGTGTCCTTGCAGTGCCCACAGCAGCGGATGCGCTCGTCTTCCTTCTCATCGAGCACGGAGCTCACACTGCTCACACTGCCAATGCTGCCACGGCGCGAGCCATGTACACTGCCAGGAGACTGGCTGGGGCTGGTGTGGGTGCTCAGGGTGTCTCTGCTGGCACTGGTGAGCTTATCTGCAAACACAGAGGGCACCCAAGTCTTCACCACCCTTGCCACATGTGGGTGTCAGGGAGGGAATTGGGGGGGTACCGAGACCAGGCTCCACAGGCTCCTTCATGCAGGGAGATCCCAAGGGCACCACCAGAATGGCCCTCTGCCTTGTTCACAGCCATCCCTGGCCTGACCACCTGGTCCCTGCCTTCCATAGCACAGCTCACAGTGAACATCTTCTGGGCAAACTGTCTTCCCTCAGGGTGCCTTCTTTCTGTGTGACAGAAGCAACCCCAGACACTGGCAGCTCTTTGGAGTGGACACTTTGATCTGCACACTGAACACAGCCAGCAGGGACACCCCAGACAGCTACTTGGGAAATTTCAGCCAACAGTCCCCAAGGAGAAAAGTATTCAGAAAACATGGCTTAGGCAGTCCCAGGAGAGCCAGGAGGGTATCAGGGCCACTGAGAATGGCCTGCCTCAGCTTCTATGCTGCCCAGGCACCTGTAGTACCACCTACATGTCCCAGGAGCCAGGAGCCACCAGCATCAACCTCTGACTAGATCTCAAAGGCAGGCCACCCTCATACCTGTCGTGTCTTCAAGCTGCTTGCAGCAGTGCTCCCTCAGGCCCACACTCCTGACTGCCCTGGGACACACAGAGCCCAGAGCTTCTCAAATGTCATCTTCCACTCCAAGCCCCCAGGTACCCTAGACATCTGCATGAGGATACTGAGGGCTGCTTGTAACTTTCACCCCAGAGGAATGGCTTTTGAGGTCCTCTTCCCAAAGCGTCTCTGCCACTTCTAGGCAGATACAACAGCTACTCTCCTCATCCTGGGTCTAGACTTCCCCTCCCCTCCAACCAAGCAGTTATTTATTTGGGAGTCTATGGCCCCGCACACACCATGCTCCTCAAAGCAGTGGATGATGCCTTTACAGATAAAGGTAGGGAACAACTGCCTAAACCCAGATCCAGCTGCTGCCTATTCTGTACAGGCCTCAGACTTAGTGTGGTTTTGACATTTTTAAGAGGTTGTTAAAAAATAAAATAAGAAGGAGCAATGGCACACCAACCCTCAGCAGGCTGGCAGTATTTACTCTCTGGTTCTTTTAAGAGAGCTAAAGCAGGGCCGGGGGTTTAGCTCAGAGGTGTAAATGGCTGTTTCGCAAATACGAAGTCATGAGTTCGATCTCCGGCACCAAAAAAAAAGACAGCCTGAAGCCTGTTCCATGTCTCCAGGCCATGTGGGCTTCATGGAGACTACAGTGGGCTGTGTGGGCACCCCCATAGCATCAACTTCAGGGCCCTGTGACGCCAGCGGTTACTGGCAAATAAGCATGTCTGGCACTTACTTGCCAAGGGCAGGCTGATGAGCTCCATGCACCTCTTACACATGATGGAGCCGCAGAGGCGGCAATGGTGGCGGCGGTTACGGATGCTGAACTTGCTCCCACAGTCGGGACAGAAAGGGACGTCTTGGTCGTTGACCCAAGGCACCACAGACTTTTCAATTGCTTTGGGAAGGACAAAATAAACACACATACCCCATTTAAGAAAGATTTGGTCAGGGAAATTGAGAAGGAATAGAAAGAACATGAACAAAGTTCTCTGCTTACCTCGAATCTTTGCCGACTCAGTGTTGGTTCTGTCAAATGCCGTGAGCTGATGGGAAAAGAGGACCAGGTGAGTTAGCCAGGGTCACCCCAGCCACATTTCACTGTCCATGACACAAGCACTGCTCTGCACATCTGCACTTCTCCAGCCAGGTCTCCAGCCCAACCCTGAGGCTTCACATCTCCAGGCTCCTCCCTCCTCTGAGCCCCTGCCTCACTCTTGCCTTTCATTACCCATACCAGCAACAAACAGGCAGGTGAAGATGTGGAGGTAAAAAAGTAGTGGGGAATTCGTCTTTCACTCCTCCTACACAACAAAACTCGCCACAAGCTTGGCATTAGTGGTGCATTTTCGCAATCCTAATACTCTAGGAGGCCTCAGCTTAGCAACTTAGTGAAACCCTGTCTCAAAACATAAAGTAAGGTCTGGAGAGGAGCTCAGCACAGCACCTTGGGTTCCTTCTCCAAGATTGCACATGTTTCTACCTACAAAATTCACAGAGCTGTATGGCTCTGCCACACTCACCACATAATCCAGACCATACTTAGCATGACCTCCAGGGAAAAGCACAGCACTCACTGCATGATGAGAGGGCCAGTCACAGGTCCCCACATGGTACCCTGGCCCTGGCTGAGGGCACAGTACAGACTTTGCCATCACTTTTCTATTCCCCATCAAATAATGCCACATACTAAACCCTGGAGTGACCCTGCCCAGGACATCCCAAAAAAGGAAATATTTCCTAACAGTCAGTGGCCTTTAGCACAGAAGAAAAAAAGCAAGGCCTAGGGCAGTTATGACACCCTGGCCACTGCCCCAGGAGAGCCAGCCCAGGCCATGTCTGTCCTCCGAGTCCTTAGCATCCCTACCAGCATCAGATACGTGTAACACAAGCTATAAAATGTGAGGCTTTCCCCCAGAAAATGTGTACTTGCAGAAAAAATATGCTTTGAACAAGAAAATTTACCTTCTCTAACCTGATTATTAATTTATTGACTTCAACAACATAGTGGTCAATTCTGGCAGCGCGGTGTTTTTTGAAGTCAGAAAGATGGCTTCTCACTGTTCCTAGAAGGAGGGAAGGCAGAGCGTAAGAGACCTATCACTTTTCTGATATAGCCTCTTGACCTTATAGCTGATCTTCAATAACTTCAAAAGCAAAACTTCAAGAACATCTGTGATCAGCTGAGAACTGAAGGAGTCTACTCACTGGCTCACTGTGGCCTCTGGAAGCTTCCAGCACAGCAGACGGGGCCAGGGTTCTGGGGCCAGCCTGTTCCCAAGCTGCTACTCTGTAGGCACCATCAGCTCAGACAAGTCACCCAGCCTCTGTGTGACCCCAAGAACTCACCCTGAGATAGAATAACCATGCTTTCTATTTACAGGGCTGTTGTGCAGGCTAAATAAAGCCCTTAAAGCACAGATAGGTACCTGACTGTCTGTTAAATAAAAAGCTCAGTAACACTATGGATCAGTATTTTATTCTCCCATTTTTCTGTACTTTCTAAAGGTGATATAATATAGTTTTTAATCATAATAAAAGCAACCCATCTTGAAATATCCACAAAAGGTAAGGGTTCACAGACACCTGTGGGGGCAGCCAGCTAAGTTTACTCTTCCTCAGACAGCAGCCAAAACTAGATCAAAGGTCCCTAAACAAGTGCAACTGCATCACTTGTTACCTAAGTGGACTTGAAGCAGCCCCTGTTCAATCCCACCTCCTCCTGAAAACCAGCGCTACCCTCCAACCTGCCAGCACCCAGTGTCTGTACTCCTCCCAGTAACCAGTCAGTCACACTTTCCCTGTGTCACAGCTGGTATCCATCACATATAAAATGTTAACTGAAAGAAATGTTATTTGACAACTACATATTGCATATATTTATTGTGCACATCTTTTGAAATACGCATGCAGCACGGAATGGCAAGCTTATTAATATATGTCTTAACCTCATTCACTCATTCGCTGTGATGCTCTTAGCAAGTTTGAGGAATACACATTTTTCTAACTTGAGTCACCATGTTGTACCATAGATCCCTTAAACTTAACCTCTTGTCTAAAATTTTATATCCTTTGATCAACATCTCCAAATGCTGTATTTGTAACCAGCCCTGTCTTTTCTTCTCTAACCATACCGTAACAGCTAATTAAGTTTTAGTTTAGAATTACTAGGTATGATTATAAATATTATCTTTAATTATGATTTCCTTCAATGTTCAAATAGACAAGCTAATTAGAAAACCACCCTGGTAATGTGACATTGCCAATCATGAAAGGCCAGTAGGAGTCAAGATATATTACGAAATTTCTCTTTCATGTTCCCAAACAGCTTTCATGTGTGACTCTTAGTTACATTTACATATAGCAATATTTTTTAAAGCTACTTCCCCCCACGACAGTGAAATGTTTTCCCTCTAACACAGTGGGCCCTGGGCACCAGCGGGTACTAAACATGTAGAATGTAGCTAGGATGCAGCCGAAGAAAAGGCTGGATTTTATTTCAGCCTAACTTAGTTACATGTGAACAGCAATGATAGCTAGTGGCTACTTGACTAGACAGCAGCACTCTAGAACTTTCTGCATTCTGGAGTAGTAGCAGATAGAGTAAGTGGCCCAGTATCCCTTCCTCTCTAAGAGCCTCAGGGCTCTCTTCCCTGAGCGGAAGAGAGCGTCATCACCATTGTACCTCACAAGGTGTTCATGAAAGGTGAACAAAAGCATGATCATGAGCTGGACACGGAGGTGGATGCCTGTGATTCCAGCACAGTCGGTGGCTGAGGCAGAAGGATCACAAGTTTCAAATCCCCCTAGACAGTTCTGTAAGACCCTGTCACAAAATTTAAAAAAATAAAAGAACTAGGGATGTAGATCAATGTGAAGCTGCTGGGTTCAATCCAGTATCACTGCACAAAAGAAAAGGTGAATTAAAAATATTGCTGGGCCTGGTGGCCACACCTATAATCTCAGCACTCAGAAATCTGAGGCAAGAGGACTATTGTGAGTCTGAAGACATCCTGGACTACATAGCAAAACCATCTCAAAAACCAAGTATTATATATGGGGGGGGGGGGGGAGAACTGTGAAAGAATTCTTATTTATACACTTCAAAAATAGAAAACAGAAAACATCCTACTGGGGATGTAGTTCAGTGCAGAGTGCATGCTTACCACCCACAAGCCTGCCATTAATGATTGCTGTCATCTGGCAGTTACAAGACAGGTAAGACTAGCAAGTTCAACACCAGTTTGTGGCACAATTTTTTTGTGGATGATCCACAAAAAGATTGGATGATCCCTTTGAAAATCAGCAGATGGTACCCCAAGAAGTGAGGAAGTATCTCAGAAAGTAGGCTCCCCACACCTGGGCCTCTCAATGCACTTAGGAGTGACATGAGCTATGGAGGCCTCGCTTAGGTGCCAGGGTGACCCCAAGAAGCTGCAGTCATACCTACTTCTGTAGCTCAAGGCTGCGTCATGTAGGCAAGTCCCCTGGTGCATGAGGGTGCAATAATGCACTCATGGAGCATCAACACAGGGCCCAACACAAGGGGCACAGCTCCTTCTCCTATGAGGTGTGAGAGGCATGAGAAATTCAGCGCTTAGTTTCACCATGCCTCCTTAGCCAAATCTGAAAATATTGCCCAGAATGTAGGAGGTATTTGATTCCTGTTTCCACAAGGAATGCTCACATCAACAGTGAGTTTCTTACCCAGCTCCTGGGGCTCCCACATGTAAGGGTCAACTCCTCCATTGCTGAAGGACTCATATCCTGAGGCCCCTGACTCTGCTCGATCATCCCCTTCCCGTCTCAGCAACTTATTCTTTGCTTTCTTAGCCTTTTGGACAAGACCTTGAAAAACAGAACAAAGAGCATAAGTAAACACATCAAGAACACCCAATAAAAGGTCAGGAGCAACATCAAAAAACAAAGCTGATAAAACAATTATCCTTGTTAAAATGCATAAGAAGCTGTGTATCAACCCATAATACCAGCACTCTGGGAGGCTCAGGACTGCCAGTTCAAGCCCAACCTGGGAAATTTAATGACTTAGTGAGACCCTGTCTCAAAAAAGAAAAAAAAATTTTTTTAAGGGCCAGGGCTACAGTTTCATGCAAAGAACCTAAGGTGGTTCAATTCTTATTACAAAGAGAGAGAGAGAGAGAGAGAGAGAGAGAGAGAGAGAGAGAGAGAAAGAGAGAGAGAGAGACAGTTGGATACCAAATAAAACCTAGAAGTAAGCACATGAACACCATATAATAAACTGCATAGAGCACTAGTCAGTATCACCAGAAAGCAGGATTCTGTGCTACATAAAATGTAAATCACTGCTCATCACCAAATTTAAGAGTCCAATTGAACAAAGCAGTTAAGATCAAATCTGATGAGGAAACCAGGATAACAGAAACAGTTTTCTATGTCTGAAACCAGGGGGTGCTTATTCACACTTTCAAAACCTATTATACTCTTAGAAACTTTTGTATAAACACCACAATGAAATAAAGTGGTTGAGCTTGCTCCTTCGTTTCCTTGTGGTGCTCGGACTGAATCCAGGGCTGGTGCACACTTAGCAAGCACCCTACCCCTAAGCTCCTGTGGTTTTCCCACAAGACAAGCTACGGGCTGCGATGCAGCTCAGTGGTAGATTGTTTGCCTTACTTGTATAACGTCCTAGATTCTGTCCTCAAAATTTCATACTGTCAGCACTATGAATTTGAGTAAGAAGCCAGGCATGGTGGCACATGCCTTTAATCCCAGCATTCGAGAGGCGGAGGCAAGAGGACTGTCGTGAGTTTGAGACCACCCTGGATTACAAAGTGAGCTCAAGGCCAGCCTGAACTGCAGAGCAAGACTCTGTCTCAAAAACACAAAAATAAATAAATAAATAAATTTTTGAGTAAACAATTCTCATTTGTAAGTAAACCTCAGGATGGGATGCTGCCAAACCAACATCCCACTGACCTTAACCAGACATAGAACTCCTCTCTTCCACCTGTGCCTAGAAACTTCTTGAACATGTGAGAATATTTACAGAAAGCTCCAAGGAACACACCTCTAAACCTCAACACAACACACATCACAAAACCTGGCTTGGTAAAGAAGAGAAAACTAGCCGGACGTGGTGGCTCACACCTGTAATCCCAGCACTCCAGAGGCTGAGGTGGGAGGATCGTTGCGAGTTCCAGACCAGCCTGGGCTACAAAGTGAGCTCAAGGCCAGCCTGAACTGCATAGTGAGACCCTGTCTCAAAAAGACAAAGTCAATCAATCAATAAATAAAAATAAAAATACATCAGCCCAAGTTGGTCAACAGGTTCAGTGAAACCTGACTGTGGTAGTTGAGCTTAAGCATGTCCACTTAATTGACTTGTGAGCTGCACAAGACATCAGTAAATCACACTTCTGGGTGTGCCTGGGTGGGTCACAGAGGCATGGCCTTACGGACCACATAGGGGCCCTCACTCCTTCCTCTCTGGCACGTCTGTCTCCTGCCATGATGCTCTTGCCTTGGAGCCAGATTACCGTGGACTGAGCCCCCTGAAACTGTGAGGTCAATTATACCTCTCCTCCTTACCACTGTATCAGGTGTTTTGTCGCAGTTATAAGGATGGTGACTACAAGCCAATCAACATCTCAGAAAGATATTTTCAGTAAGATGAATCTAAAGTTTATATGGAGAAGCAAAAGACCTAGAATAGCTAATACAATATTGAAGAACAAAGTTGGGAGACTAACACTGTCTAGCTTCAAGATTCCCTATAAACTAGGTGATATACACACCTAGGATCTCAGCTCTCTGGGAGGTTAGGAGACTGAGACAGGAAGATCACAAACCCAACCAAGCCTGAGTGACTTAGCAACTTATCAAGACCCCGTCTCAAAAAAGACCAAAAAAAAAAGAAGAAGAAGAAGAGAAAACTATGGCAGGTAGAGGCAGGAGGATCACAAGTTACAGCCCAGGCTGGGCAACTTAGTGACTTACCAAGAGTCTGTCTTTAAATAACTTTTAAAAAGAGTGGAGATGGAGCTCAGTGGGGAGGCTGTGTTTGATTCTTAAAGCTAGCAGAAGAAAAAGAAAAATATGAGTATTTTCCGAATCAGGTCTTTGGATGCACCAGGTACAATGCACCCAAATATGTGATGCTAGTTTATGCTCAGTGTCTAAGGTGGTGACAGCCCTACTTACAAAAAAGGAGGTGACATTACAGTGGGGAAAACTTGCTTCCCCCATCACAGAGCTCAAGACAACAGGGATAGTGGATACCTTGCCTGCGTGAAACAAGGCCCATTTCACCCATCAGCCCTACACCTCCACAGAATGGAGCTCCTACCAGTCCTGCTGAGGAGAGACAGTCACCACTGAAGCCACCACTGGCCTGAATAGCAGGTCACCAGCAGGGAAAAAGGGCTTCAGGTTCCAATTTCAAGCTCCCCTCTCTTTATGGCCTTAAATCCCAGGTGTCTGTCGCCTGTCTGCCATAGGATCTAACAGAAAAAGTCAGATTGGATATGAAATGCTGTTGCTGCCATGACATGTAACAGACCAATTCTTCACAGAATTCTTATGACTTGTGTCCCTTCAGGAATGTCAAAAATGCCCAAGGGCTTTCAAGAGTCAGGTGGACGCAGACTTGGAGGGGCTACAAGAGGAGAGAGATGCATCAGTTACCCAGTTGCCCAACAGTCACACTCTGTGTGACATTATCTGTCACTCAGAGGGCTTTTTCTAACAGGAAAAACGCTACGCTGAAGGATGTCCTTCACAATGCGTGAGAGTTGTCTTCTCAAGCCAACAGTGGAAGTCAACTGCCTCATGAACTAAAGGTCCAGCAGTCAGGAAACTGGAGACAGCAAACAAGGCTTCATTTCTGCAAACATGACTGGAGAGGGGAGAGTCATCATGTAACCACATCACGAGACTGAAATAGTGCCACACCCTGCCAAGTAGTCCAACCCTTCCAGAGCTGGCCATAAGTACCAACCACGAAATCTTAGAAACACAAAGCAGAGCTATAGCTGGTTTCAACTCCTTTCTCTCTTCCCTACTGTAAATGAAGCTGAATCCAGGCCAGGGTTCCAACCCATAGCCCACTCTTCAGGAATGATGAGTTTATCTTTCTTTTTAAAGCTGCCTTCTAAACCTGGTATCAAAGTTTACTCTTTTGACTTGTAACTTCTAAGTTGTCTAAAAATATAAATGCCTAAAATTTCAAAAGACAAGACAAAATGGAAATATAATCTGATTTTGAAAGGATTTTTCAAAGAAACTTTGATGTCAAACTCTAAAACTTTACTTTCCTAGTTGGGCACAGTGGTACATGCCTATAATCCCAGCATTTAGGAGGGCAAGGCAGGAAGATCACTCAAAGTTTGAGGCTACCACAAGTTTGAGACAAAAAAGGGTCCTTGTCTCAAAAAAACAAAAAACAAAACAAGACAAAACAAAACCAGAGAATCCCTTCATTGATTCTGAAACCAGAAAAATTTTATGTAAGAGTTCCTTCCTAATTAAACAAGTGACCTTTAGTCCTAAAGGAATGGTTAGCACAATTTCTTAGTTTTTTTCAGGAGGGAAAAAAACAAGAGGGCCTTTCTGTTTGTTTTTGCAGTAGAAGATCAGATCCAGGAGCTCAGGCATGTACTGAGCTACACCTCTAGCCCAAGAGAAGCCTCAAGTTTCTTTTACCACGAATAAAGTTTTCACTCCATGTTGTGTTCCCTGAATAGATTTCCATATGCATTATTCTTTAAATAATCTCAAACATCTTTCCTCTTCAAACAAGATCATAGGAGGCACCTGAGGGCCTTGACTACCTGCACAACTGGCGAACCAGTATGACCTGTCTCAGGAAAGGCATGGCACATGACTGAGCTTGCTAGAACCAGGGAAGCCCTTCCACTGCCCAAAGAACATATATACAACCAGTTTTGGATTTTTGTTCCTATTTTTACTCCTGGAAGCTGCAATGCATCCTGAGATCAGAATACAAGGCCTTTCCTCATCAGTAATATGCTGTGGAAAAAGTGTCAACAGACATAGGGAGACAGAGGATTTGGTTCTCAGGTGAACCTCTGTCAGTCCATGTGACTTTAGATAAGTTACCAAAAAGCTCTGGGCCTCACTTATCTGTAAGTGAGACTGACCACCTTCTTTCAGGCTTGCTGAAGTAATAAGTATGAGAAAGAAACTGTAAAAGCTATAAAATGCAGTGCTATTTTTATTACTCTTTTGAGTGATGGCTCTGTTCCAACCTCTACAGCCAGGAGGCCCCTTGATCATTACAGCTCTCAGGACTTTGAAAATGTCTGCCTTTCTCCCATGTTTGGGGGTAAGTTATAATTGTTGATGTTTTTATCAACTCTCTTTTACCCCCTGAACTGAGAATTCAGGCACACAGTGGAACTCGAGGTAGAGATATCTGATTCTAATGTGCACATGACTTCTATTTGTTGTAAAAGAAAACTTGAGGCTCCTCTTGGGGAGCTAGAGATGTAGCTCAGGATGTTTAAAAGCCAGATCCCATTTGGAAATACACCCAGCATCACTCCTTTCTCTCTACCCAGTAAAGATTATGAATACAAACATCCAGTCTCTCCATATCCTCATGGCTTTCTGAAAGGCTGTTAGGTACAAGAAGCAAGGTAGCTAAGTAAATAGAAGAACAGGTGCTGGAGGAGCAGCAATTCAGTTAGGAAACAGAACTTGAAATCCAGGAGACACAGCATACATAATCAAAATCACCTCTGAAAAATTCTTTCTGTAACTTGTCAGAATCTGAGTCCTTGGAAGCTCAAAATCCAAGATCTTAACTTATAGGTTATACAGGGGGAGGGGATGCTTTTTATTTTTTGCTTTTCAACTATTACCTTCCCTTTCTGGGCTACAGAGGTCAAGGTCCAGTTGAGAAAGGAAAGATGGTGGGAAGCCTGAATTTGTGAAAGACAAATCACAGTAGATGAAAGGCATTCCTGTCCAAATCCTCGCAGCAAGGGATCAGAAAACTTGAACAATCTGGCAAAGGACAGCAGATCACAGTGACTATAGCCACTCCACTGAAAGCCAGGCTCTGCTTCATGCTGTGCCTTTAGGTCAGTTATCTCATCTCTGTGTTTGATACCTTTATCAGCAAAATGGTGCTCACAGTCACACAACCAGGGGGAGTGTTCAAAGAAACGTGCAAGGAGACTCTGAACACTTGCAAGCACGTGGATAGCACAAGATAGCCACTGGCTACTTTTACTACCATCATATGCTGGTGCCACCATGAAGCCCCACAAAAACCATCCCATGAATAAAAGCCCTCAGTCACAGAATGGAATAAGCCAGGACTTCCTTCTTACTTTTAATCTGCCCTTTGACATCACGGTCTTCCCCCGAATGCTCTTCCTCATAATGTGTCTGGAGCTGATAGAAAGACTGCAGGTCCTTCAAGCACAGCGGGCAGAGGAAGCCCTCCCTCACGTCCCCTGGGTCATCCAGAGAAGCCATGGCAGTGGGCTCTCAATTCCAGGAAGGCAAGGGCCTCATACCAACAGTTAGCTTGATTCCTCCCCAGACCAGGGCTCCTGGAACATTAGCTGAGCCAACCAGCACATGGATGACAGGGAAGTAGTGTTACGGTCCTGGGTGAAGTTTTCTCTCTGGAGCAGAAGGAACTCTAAGAAAAAGAGGGAAAAGCCAATCAGGCAAATTAACTGCAAATTAACAAAGAATCTTCTTTGTTTTTCTCACAGTTCAACAGCCTACATGTTGCACATTCAATGCAAATCTATAGAAACAAACTGTTTCCCACTTCCTTAGACTAGGATACAAAACCCAGAATGTGAGACCTCATGGAACACCTAATTGAAGTGGGAAGCACTTCCTGCAAACAAGACTGTTCTTATATTTACTCCAAATGGTTGAACTTCATCATTTCTATCGCACTTAAGAAAATACTTCATGTACTTATCAACAAGTGTAAGTTTTATCTGACTTTCTACCTTGATCATTTATTCAGCCATATACTATATTGAGCCAAACTTACATCCAAGCACTCACCAGGCCGGATGCTGCTTAGCTTCTAAGATCAGATAAGATTGGGCATGTTCAGGTATTGAACCAATCTTGGTACTTATAAAGCATTATGTGTAAAAAATGAGATGAAAAAGATACAGTATCTCTCTCTCTCACACACACACACACACACACACACACACACACAATCAAAACCAAACCAAAACCTGAACCAAACCACAGTTTAAGGAGAAACAGTAGAAACATAGTGGTGAGAAAAGGAAAACCATGCAGGTACAGTAGTATAAGTCTGTGGTCCCAGACACCCAGGAGACAGACAGGAGGCTGCCTGCCCAACGCAGCAAGACACTCTCTTAACAAATAGTAAACAGGAGAAAGAAAAACCTATTTAGTATTTGCAAAGTAACTCCTCTTCAACCAGCTTATCACATTTAATAAACCAGTGACAGCTGAACAGCAAGCGTGATGTTCTCACTACTTCAAACATAAAACTTAGTAGTAATTTCCAATGGCACCTCAGAAGAACTCCCTGTCATAAAGAGAATTCAGACAAAGCTGAAAGAACTTCTCCCCCATGTCGCAAGGGCCACAAATCACAGTGCAGCATGTGTGACCTTCAGCTGCAGATAGCCTAGTAGAGCAATGAGGGGGAACACCTTCAAAGTTGAGGGTGGCAGCAACTTAGAAAATAAAGGAGACATTGGCCTGCTTTTCCTTCTTGTTAAGAAACCTAGTGACCACATCCACACATAACCCAGCCCTTGTCCCAGCTCATCACTGAAAGTGCACCTCCAGGTCCGACCTGTTCCGTCTGCAGCCAGCTGTGACTGGCAGCTTCCTTCAGGGCCCATGCCCCTGCCACACACCCACCTCTCCAAACCTTAGCTCCTCTGAGCCAGCTCTTACTCAAAACTGTTTCCAGCAAGAGCCATTGATCTCAGTGTGCATCACAGGGACTAAATAGTACAAGCCTAAGACTTGTGAGGGGTCAGACAATGTCTTTTTCCGCAATACCAGACCTCCTGAGTGCCTGGCACACACAACTAAAAAGCTTGGCGCCACAGGCCCACTCGGGAGGCTGAGGCAGGAGAATCACAAGCTGGAGGTCAGCCTGGGAAACTCAGCAAGCCTGTTTCAAAATAAATAAAAAGGGTCGGGTTGCACCTTAGTGTGAAAACCCTGGTTTCATCCACAGTACCAAAAAAAAAAAAAAAAAAAAAGGAAGAAAGAAAAAGAAGAGTCCATGAATGAATGTATGAATCCTAAATCATAACCCTGAATGTATGCAGCATACCAAACCCTTCCCCAAAACCCCGCTCAGCGCCCCCGCGAGCCTCAGGGCTACCCGATCAGGAGGTATCGCAGGGACACCGACTATCCCCCAAGACCCAGTTGAAGGACTCGCGACACGGAGGACCCGGCGGAGGACGGACGACACAGCCTGCTGCGGAGCGCACTGAACCTAGCGCACCAACATCCCGCCCACCACCACCGCTCTACCGCATCACCACCACCCGCCGCCGACCGCGACCCACACACGGACACCGAAATGAGCCGCACCGCTGCCGAGAGAGCCCCCCAGCAACAGCACTCAGTACCCGCTCGGTCGGGGCGCGAAATCCGGTCTCGTCGGCCACCCGCGCTCTGGGCCTGCTCGGCCCCTCACAGGGCCGCGACCGCCATGTCTATCGGCTGCTCGGCGCTCGGCAGGCGCGCCTGTGGAACCGGAAGGGAGGCTGACAGACGCCGGCCGAGCGCGTAGCGCGCTATCGCTTACAGAGGGCGGGACGCGACGGGTCCGCGCAGGCGCTGTGGAACGGAGCCGGTCCGCTTAAATGGGGAGCATGCGCGCTCTGCCATTTAGGCTCCATATCTAGCGTGTAAAACGGTGTTCCGGCCCGCGGGCATTTGGCTCTTCCCCACCAAAGACGCAGCGTTTCTCCTGCCACACCGCAACACTGAATATTCCAAGAGTCACCTCGCGAGAGAGGCAGCAGAAACAGGGGATCCCGGAGTCGCTCTCGCAGGACTGGCAGGACAAAGACAGTTTCACTCCTCGAGCAGCTTGGGGGCCCGGAGGGACTGGACCCCACTCTGACCCTAGCTAACCCATTCTCCACCCCTAGCCCTAGCTCTAGCCCGGGATTTAGCGTGAGCTAACCATCACCATTCATTCCTATTACCATTACTATAACCTTAAACGTAATCCTAGCCCTGACCTTTAACACTAATCTCACCCCACTGCCTCCCCTTCACTTTAGCCTCTGAGGGTGTGGGCCCTGCAGCTTAGAGAGCATGAAGTTTGGAGTGCTTGTCGATGAAAGGGTATGAAGCTGGAGGGTCTAGAGGCCACTAGAACGCAGAGCCATACTGCGGGCCGTACTTTACCGCTGAGCGACGCCTCCCCTCACTTTGTTTTGTTTGTGTTTTGAGAAAAGGTCTTGCTATGCAGTCCAGCCTGACCTCGAATTTGCAGCGATCCTCCTGCCACAGCCTCCCGAGTATTGAGATCACAAATATGCTGCACTATACCCAGCACACATGTTATTTTTTTTTTTCTCAAAAATACTTAACGCAAAAATAAAGAAAAAGGACCTTGGAGATGCTGGGCAGCTGGGGGGGGGGGGTTTCCTTCGCTCTGTAGCGCAGTTCTTCCGGTCGAGTTAAGAGCCGCGAGGAACCATGTAGCCACTAGGGGGCGCCGCAGGCCGCCTAGGAGCCTAACAGAGCTGTTCAATGTTCCTGGGACTGTTTGGTTTGGTTTTTTTTTTTTTTTTTTTTTTTGAGATCAGGTCTCGCTATGCAGTTCAGGCTGGCCTTGAGCTCACTTAGTAGCCCAGGCTGGTCTGGAACTCGCAAGGCTCCTCCCACCTCAGCCTCCCGAATGCTGGGATTACAGGCGTGAGCCACCACGCCCGACTGTCCTGGGGCTGGTTTTACAGAGGCCACCCCTTCACGCGCCATCGTAGTTTGCCCCTGGCCCTGGTCCCTGGAATCCCAGAGTCCTGTCCAAAGGGTCAGGGCCAACCTAGATAGATCTTTTTGTTTAGTTGGGCTTTTTGGTATCAAGAATTGTACCTTGTGCTTACCAGGAAGGCGCTTATGCTGCTGAGCATATAAATAATATAGATAGATCTCTTGTTTTACGTTTTTTTTTTTTTTTTTTTTTTTGAGGGCCACCCTAATAACTTCGTTTTATTTTTTTTCTGACCTGGGGATTGGACTCAGCTTTCACTCCCAACCTTTTTTATTTTGAGAGAGGGTCTGGCAATTTGCTTAGGCTAGGCTCAAACCTGCATCCTCCTGTCTCACTTCCCTCAGTGCCAACACATTAACTTCATTTTAAGTTAATCACCTCTTATAAAGGACACCATCTCCAAAACCACCACCTTCTGAGGTTCGATATGAACTTGCAGGATGCAACACAGCCTATGGCTAACAGAGACCTGAGGTACAGAGCTTCACCATCATGAGCACAGGCCTGCACCACTCTGCAGAGGAGACCCCGAGACAGGGGGAGGGGATAGATCATTTTCTGTGACTGTCCTGTGTGTGTCCCTGGCAGGCTTGGGCTGGAGGGCCAGTGGCCTCTTAACAAACCAACAAGAGGATCAGGGGCCCTTCTGGTTCTTGGGGGGCCAAGGACAGTGACACACACATGTCCTCTTAGCACTCTGCAGGCTGAGGCAGGCAAGGCCACCTGGTCTATGTAGTGAAAACTTGTCTTAAAACACGACAACAGCTCACTGGTTGATTTTTGGGATTGTAACCCTTGAACTGGGGGTCCAGGCACAGTTCCCAGAGCCTCCTGCACCATTCTTCGTATACCCCTCTTCTACCTCCTCCAGGTGTGGGGGAACTACTCAAACCTTAAGACCCATTTCAAGGGTCCAATGTCCTAGACTTTCCCAGCAGAGATACCTCGTCCTTTTCGAGTCCCTGTTGTAAACATGTGTTTTCCAGTCCTATCACCCCATGAGACTCTCTGAACTGTTGCAAGAAGGAGCCCTGCCAGGCTGGCCAAATACTGGCAGTTAGGATGTGACAACAGTTTCTTGACCTCTCTGTGCACCAGTTTCCTCACCTGTAAAGGGACATCAGAGCCCTCTCGAAGCCCTGGGTGCATGTGAGCTGCCCTAATTCTCCTTTATTACCTCTGTGCACACAATGGTAGGGATCCTTAGTGCCTGTGTGGGGCCCGACCCAGGAATTACTTGCCAAATGAAAGAATTATAGGCTGCAAATGAGTTTCACATTCATGCAAGAAGCCCATGGATGGGAACAGGAAGACAGAGCTGGAGAGAGATTGCTGTCACCTAGGACACCGAGTGCCTCCATCCAAGCCTCCTCCATACCCCCACGCAGTCTGGCTGCCACCTTCGGCTCCTATTTTTGTCAGGCCCAGTTGGCACCAGGAGAATCAGAATTTGGGGCATTGCCTGCGCCCTGAGCTCTGCGCCAGACCTGATGACTCCCATGTGCCCCCCAACATCCTGCTTTAAATAGTGCTCTCCCTGACCCAGGGCTAAGTGGACATGGATCTTTGAGCAGAGCTGTTCAGACTGGCGCAGTGCCCACTCTCGTGCTCCCCATGGCCTGGGACACAGCCTGGATGTGAGCCGCAACCCCCTGCCATGTGACTGTCCTCTGCTTTCCCCCGCCATGGAGTGGGGTTATCATGTCCCCGTCCATGGCTTCCAGCTTTAGAGTTGTCCCTGTCTCCTACTCCAAATCTGCCGCAACCATATGCTACAGCCCGCTGCCCCTGAACACAGCTAGCTTTACACCTTAATTAACTCTGCGCTAGACCTGCAATCACAGGATGAGTGCACTCGCTTTCTCTTATGCCGGTTTAATAAGTGTTAAAGTTCCAACCACTCAGCGTCATCCTATGCAAAAGTGGGCGCCCTGGTCATGGTGGGGGGAGAAAGGGAACAGAAGGCACAGTGCCAAGAGCATGCAGCTGCAAGAAGCCCTGGCTCCCCCACCCCAGCATCAGGAAAAGAAAGAAGCAGGAGGGGAGGGAGGAGAGGAAGAGGTTTAAAGAACAGGTCTGTGGATGGGGGTATCTAGGTGGGGAGCACAGGCCAGAGGTTTCCAGACAGGAGGCATAGGTTTGGGTGAGACTCAAGTCCCCTGCAGGGTCACACCCCCCCCCCCCATCGGCTCTGAGAGGCACTGCTATATGCCTGGGCCAGCGAGAGGCCAGGAAGGTTCTGTCCCTAGAAGCTGGAGAAAGCCTGGGCCAGAGGCACAGCAGGAGCCACAGGGTGTCCCAGGTGGGCACAGTTGCCGTCCAGCTCACAGAAAGCAAAATATAAGGGGAACTTGAAGGCATCCCATCCCTGCACCAGCCCCATGCCACCCAAGGAAGACCATAATCCATGATAGTGAATGCCAGTAATCCCAGCACTTGGGAGGCTGAGGCAGAAAGGTTGCCACAAGTTTGTAGCCAGCCTGGGCTACATAGTGAGTTCAAGGCCAACCCAAACTACATAGTGAAACCCTGTCTCAAAACGACAGCAACGTAAAAAGCATTCCAACCATACATATGACAGTGGGCCTATAGTATTAGAGTGGAGCTAAAATATTCCTGTCATCCATTGACAAACATCGCTGTTGTGATGCTACACACAACTCAGATTCTATATATCTGTGCTGGTACCAGTGTTAACAAACCTGCTGCCCTGCCAGTCATTTAAAAGTAAAGCACAGTTATTATTTTACATGTAGTGCACATTGCGTGAGATAGGTGCAGTGTTCAGTTTGTCTGTACTGGGATAATTCTTGACAATGATGATAAGCAACTATGTGACTGGTTCATGATTTACTACACTACATTTTTATCATTATTTTCACATGTACTCTTATTTATCTGAGAATCATGTTCACTACCTGTCTTGGCTTTCCATCCCTGTGACAAAATAGTACTGGAGAATCACAGCTCAAAGGAGGAAGGGTTTGCTTTGCTTCTGATTTCCCAGGTTTCCCAGGATCCTTTGCTTTTAGGTCAAGGTAAGGCAGAAACATCATGGCAAGGGAGAGCTGCTCACACCATCAGGCAGAAAGAGGAGGAAGAGGAGAGCCAAGATCAGACATAGCTCCTGGTTACACCCCAGGGCCTTGTGTGGCATCAAAAGGAAAGCTGTCCAGACAGGAAAGCAGGGCAGTGATTAGCTAAGAGTCAATGAGGTTGGGAGCCCTGCTGGGCAGGAAGGGCCATGGGAGGACTGGGCACTCAGTCCTGCCCAGAGCAGCAGAGAACTTGTCTCTGTGTCAGTGCTGGGCTTCCTTGGTGGTCAAGCCCAGCACTCTCCACCCTTGGGAGTCAAGCGGTAAGTTTTAAAGCTGTCCTTTTGCCCTCCTACCACAAAAAGAGCTCAGTACACAGAAGCTAAGAAGCCTGCTGAATAGTGTATATCTGAAATCTCAGCACTTGGGTGGCTGAGGCAGGAGGATCTCAAATCTGAGGCCAGCCTAGCTAGATTGCATGAGACCTTATCTCAGAAAGAGAGACAGAGAGAAAGACAGACAGAGAGAGAGAGAGAGAGAGAGAGAGGAAGGCAGGCAGACTTGACCTCTTTACTGCGGGAAATCAAGGCTAAGCACCTGACTTGTGGGTGCACACCATCTAAACACCGTGCAAGGATGCTTCCATCACTTATGTGTCTTTGGGTATCAGTTGCCTCACATTTTGGAATCAAATAGATTGTGCATAAGAAATAAGT